TATCGCAGTGTTCATTATACAGTCAAAATATATTGTTGACACTTGTAGGATTTTGGATAAGTGCTATGCACTTATCATTCCTAAATGTCATAATACAAATAAAACCAGTCACATTTCATAACACTACTCGACTTGTACTTCTCATACTCCCACTCAATTCGTGGGTCTATGTATCTGCGAGCCCTAACTTGGTGCGCAGGATCTCAAATTGCTCTCGCGGAATGGTTTTGGCGAGGATGTCGGCCACCATCAATTTCGTCGGGCAGATTTTGGATACGGTCCTTCTCCACTTGATCGCGCAGAAAGTGATACTTGGTGCTGATATGCTTGGTGCGTTCGTGGTGGCCGGGGTTCTTCGTGATAGCGATGGCACTTTGATTGTCGCAGTGGACAGCAATATCCCTTGGGGAAACCCCAGTTCTTCAAGCAGCCCGATGTACCAAAGCAACTCTTTGACCACGTCGCAAAGTGCAATGTACTCGGCCTCGGCGGTCGAGAGCGCGACCATCGATGGCTTCCTTGATCTTGCCGACAAACTTGCGCCGAGGAACATGACGAGAAAGCCGCTGATCGATCATTGGTCTTCACTGTTGGCAAAGTCGGCGTCGCAGAAGGCTTTAACTTGGAACTCTCCCACTTGCCCTGAGCAGTCGATCTTGAGGCAAAGAGACCCGGTGCCCTTGAGGTAACGCAACACCCGCTTGGCTTGCTTCCAGTGGCTCTCATCGAAGCACGACAGGTACTTCGATAGGTTTCGCTCGGCGTTGGCGATGTACGGCCGGGTGCACGTGAACAAGTACAACAAGCTTCCGACCACCAGTTCGCTGTACGGGAGGTCGAGTTTCTTCACTTCACTTGGCGTCAACTTGCTTGGCTTGAGCACATGGCCGACGACTTCCAGGGTGGTCACGGGGTTGCTTTCAACCAATTTGAACTTGTCCAGGAGTACGTCGATTTAGCCTTGCTGGGGCATCGTCACCACCTTGGTCTTGACTTCAACTTGGATTCCAAGGATAGACTTGAGCTCGCCGAGGTCGGTCATCTCAAAGCGCTTCTTGATGTCGTCGCACGCCTTCTCGATTTCTTCGTTGTTGTTGCCGGTGAGAGTGATGTCGTCAACGCAGACGGTCAAAAGCACCATGGCTTCTCCCACTCTTTTGACGTAGAGGCATGCATGCTTCCTTGGCGCAACTCTCGAAACCGATCTCCACGAGGAACATGTGCTGGGTAAGGTACCAGCATCTTGGGGCTTGCTTGAGTCCATAAATCACCTTGAGCAGCTTGCAAACGAGACTTTCGGACCCAGGCACTGCAAAGTTGGGCGGTTGCAGCATGTAGATTTCGGTGTCCTCGTCCATGAGTCCGTTCAAGAACGCTCGCTGTCTTGACGTCCATTTGCCGGATCTTCTACCCGTGAAACGCAACCAAAGAGAGGACCAAGCGCAGCGTGTTGTAGCGAAGCACCGGCGCGAAGATTTCTTAGTAGTCGAGACTGTAACGCTGCATGAATCCCTTGATCACCAGGCGAGCCTTGTACTTGGTAAAGCGACCCAAGGCGTCGAACTTCTTGCGCCACAACCACTTGCAAGGCAACGCCTTGCGTCCAGGGGCAGCGCCGCCAGGGTCCAAGTGCCGTTGTTGACCAACGAGTCGTATTCGTCTTGAGTCGCGTCCAGCCATGCATGCTTGTTGGGACTTGCTTCGATGTCGGCAAACGATGGCGGTGTGTCCTTGATCACATCGAGGGAAAACACTTGGTGGGGGCCACCAGAGATAGCTCCCAGTCCCGCTGGGTCGACGAATTCGACTTCGGAATCACTTGAGTTCGTGGTCGCTCGAGGTGGCCTCGTCACCAAACTGCAGCGGCTCTTCCTCATCAACAAAGGGCTTGGATCAACCTCGCTGGCGGCGTCCGTCCCGTCTTCAGATGGCACCTCCGCTTCTCCCACTGAGTCCTTGACGTCATGCCTTGGACGCGCCGCCGCTGCGTCGTCACTTGGATCGGTGTCGTCGGGCTGGAAGGCCGAAACTTGGTCGTCAAACTGCACAGCTGTGTTGTCGGTAGGCACAAAGTCTTCCATGAACTTGACCGAGCGACATTGGAACAGCTCGCCCGATTCGCAGTCAACAAGCCGATAGCTCTTGTGCTGGCTCGTGTATCCCAGAAAAGTGCACGATTTGGACGCTCTTGGGTCCAACTTGGTACGCTTGGCCTTGTCGACGAATGCAAACAATGTGCAGCCAAAGGGTCGGAGATATTCGATGTTCGGTTTGCGGCCGTACAGAGCTTCGAAGGGGGTCTTGCCGCCGAGAGCCTTGGTCGGACTTCGGTTCTCCGTGTATTCCAAATAGCCAAGCGCTTCACCCCAGTACTGGTTGTCCATGCCGCTTGCTTGGAGGATGCAGCGCACTTTGTTCATCACCGTGTAGTTGGTCTTCTCCGCGACGCAGTTTTCTTCTGGGGAGTACGCGTTCGTGAATAGCTGCTCGACCCCCAGCCCGGCACAGTACGCGTTGAGTTCCTTGGACTGATATTCCTTCGCGTTGTCCGACATGATGGTCTTGAGCTTGAAAGCCGTGTTGCCGCTCCACCAGCGCTTAGAACGTCTTGAAGTTCTCGAGGGTCTCCGACTTGGAAGTCAGAAGGAACAGCCACTTGAAACGAGTGCCTTCGTCAACGTACAACTCGTAGAGCCTCTTCCCACTGTATGTTGCGGGACTGATCGGCCCGCCTTTGTCCACGTGCACGCGCTCAAGCGGAACATGTGTGCGGTATGGTTTGGTGTTCTTGTAACTCATCCGACGAGCTTTGGCCACTTCACACACTTTGCACTTGTAGTCTTGAACCAAACCGTTCTTGGACAGACATAATCCTTCCAAGGTACCGTCGCGTGCCGCTTCCTTGATAGCTCCGAAGTTGAGATGGGCCAGCCGCATGTGCCACTGGACCAGCTTGGGTGCTGGCTGTCGCACAAGACAGCTGTTGAGTTGATCGGCATATGATTGCAGAACATAGAGCCCGCGGTGATGATTGAACCGTAGGACAAACGTGTCTCGGATCAGAACCGCCACGTTGAGGTCCCATTTCGCCACTTGAAATCCGTCCTTGAACAGAAGTCGGAAAGACAGGAGACTTTACTTGAGGTTGGGAACGTATATGGCCTTGGGTCGTTCGAGTCGATGGTCTTCGTCCACTTGAATCGACAGCAGACCCGTGTGCATGGACTGCACCGTCGAGTTGTAGGCCAGCTGCAGGGCAGAGAGCTGAGAACGAGCCTTTTCGTAAACAGGGCCTTGTTTCCCGTGACTGCTGTGCAAGCGCTGTCCAGGATCCATACGTCTTCAAGGGATGATCGTGCGAAATCATCTGTTGTGGCCAGAATGGATCCTTCTTCGTCACCATGTTGAAGTGCGTTGATCTCGTCTTCGTCTTGAGTCGACATGCACTTGCGCTACACGGCCTTGGCCAAATCCCGCTTCTTGTACCGCCATTCGAACGGATAGTGCCCAATCTTGTGGCAGTAGTGGCATATGTCCTTGACCGCTTGTTTCTTCTTGTAAGGCCTTTGGTTGTCCGGCTTGCCCTGTACAGTAGCTGGTGGCTGTCCACCTTGCGCTTCGTATACGTCCCACTCTTGACCTCATCTTCCCTGGACAACACAAGGTTGATGATTTGGTCGAGAGTCGCAGACGGTTCACGGCTGCGCAATATTTCCACCGTCGTCGGGAAGACTTCCTTGACGCTGGTCTGCAGGATTCGTCCGAGCATTTCGTCATCCACTCGAGATTCCATAAGGAGCAGCTTCTGTTGGAGGCCGCGCAGGTCCGTGATATGCTTCTGCATGCACGAGCCAGGTGTGTAGACCTTCGTGTGCAACTCGTGGATGATGTGGGGCACATCAGCATACATTCGGGCTTCGTAAGGCGTGATATGCAGGTCCCACACTTCCTTGGACGTTGTCACGTGAGACACATAGGCCAGGTTGTCATCGTCGAGGGAGTTGACGAGGATATCGAAGGCCCTTTCTTCCTTGGAGTCGTAGTCGTCGGCTTCCTCGCCCGTTACTTCGCCGCTCACAACTTTCCTCAGGCCTTTGCTGCGGATCTTGGCCTGTATGCGCACCATGTAGATGTTGAAGTTTGCGACGGCGAAGACGAGAGAGTTGGATTTCTCTTCCTTCAGATGCGTGGTCGTTGTGCTCATAACCCTTAAGACTTGGAGAGGGAATGCTTTGAAAAGACTTGAAGGATGAACGTAAAATTCAATTGTGGTCACTTAGATGCTCGGCACTTTCACCACCGTTTCGTGGTTCATACTTGAAAGCACTTTGAGCAATCCTAAAGGATGTCACAATAGTGACACTGAGTTTTGTGTATCCATGCATGCATGAACAAAGACTGATATATCATGTCGTCTCTGCAAAGGTTGCCTGTAACTGCTTTCGACACCTATCGCAGTGTTCATGATACAGTCAAGATATATTCTTGACACTTGCAGGATTTTGGATAAGTGCCATGCGCTTATCATATCCTAAATGTCAACAAACAAATAAACAAGTCATATTTCATAACACTACTCGAGTTTTACTTCTCATAAAAACCCCACGATTTGGACCCAATTTTGGTCCAAATCGCGGTTTCGAAGGCAAAAAGTGCACGATTTGGACGCAAATTCGGCCCCAAGTGGTGGCAAAATCCGCGACAATGCTGACGACGACACGGGTGACGGTGCAGATGACGAAAACCGTGTCCATGCAGGTGACGATGCGAGTGACAAAATTTGGGAGGATGCAGATGACGACGCGGATGACGATATCCGTGACGATGACGATGACGAAATTTTGGACGACAATCGTGGCGACAGGTGTGCATTGGTGGTTGGGGGGTCCAACACGACGATTAAATGAGTTTCTTTAACCCTATTTGTCGAGCAAAGGCTCTATTGAACTGACTTACTACCTCGTACCGTCTGAATATGTTGTGGTTGGTTTCCTGAGGTGATTGGATCATGCGATGTGGCATGATAGGCGCAGGGCTTCGGCTACGTATGGACTTCTGACGGGACAACGTGCGCTTTCAACCACGGATCGTCGGATAGCACTCGCAAGACGTTGAAGGCTTTTGTGTAAACCTTCTTGAGAGGTAAATCCCCGAAAAGAATCGTCAAGTAAAGGTTAATGAAGCTGGCGGCGTGAATTGCCGTTTCGAATGTAGTCTTGAATGGGAGGTCGGGACGAAACGTGCGATCGGCGCGCTGTAGCCAAATATGGTAGTCAACGCACGCTCGGACGACGGGCCAGATTTTCAGATATCCACGGACGTAGTAGACATCCGGCGACTTGGGGGGTTGGGGGGTTCGAAAAACAGTTCGTTGCGCGAGAATGGTCACCCCAACACTTGCAGAATTTTCTTGAAGGACTGCCACACGGATTGGCCGTACCGGCAAATGAACAGAAAGTGGTGGTGCGTTTCGTTCGAGCCACAGACGACACAAGTCGGCTGTGGAAGGTGAAACTTGAACAGGTACTGCAAGGCGTTGGCACGAAGTAGTGTCTTGTAGATGAATTCGCCATATCGAGGTAAGATGTGGTCTGGACGGGAAAACATTGCGAGCTGCTTCAGGCGCTTGGGGTCGGCGTAAAAGTCGGTCGGCAAGTTGAGGTGCTTGGTAGGAATCAGCGAGGAGTCTGCCATTGAATGAGTCTTGAGCTTTGCCGACCGTGACGTTGCTACTGACAACACAATCGGCAAGTCGTCGGGGCGTATGATCCAGAAGCCTTGCAAGAGCGGGGGTCGACGAGGTGGCAAACGGAATGGTGGGGAATTGCTTTCCGAGGCGACTTCAAACAATGTCGACAGCTTGGTTGTCAAAATCGAGATCCATTTCTACGTTGGGAGCTCAAGGTTGGAGCGAACACAGAGACGCTAAACGTTGTCGAACAATAGCCCGGGCGGCCACAGCCTTCCGCAAGGGGTAAGAAGATGGGCTACTTGCGTGATACCGAGGGACGCGAGAGTCAGTGCTTGAGGCTTAGTGGAAGACCAGGAAAGGTCGTAGAGATTCTCCGTCCGGGCAGAAAGGAGTTGTGCCACAACGGCACACGCCACGATAGCTCGCTTGACGGAAACCCAAAAGGCGTCCATCGCGCCTCAAACCACAACGAAAGTAAGGTGGGCCACAATGGAGTGGCATTCGGGCTCTTCTTTAATGTCTTGAGGAAGGGGGAGTGACCGCATGCTTGCAGCAGGTCCCGAGGAGTACCCCAAGGATTAAACGCTTTATCAAGCAAGAAGTACCGTGGAGTAATCCAAGAGTGGATGATGGCTTTGGAGGAAGGCGTCGCGAAAGCTTTCACGCACCGGATCATCACAGCCCGGTTCTGTTGCTCCCACAACTTCAGCGCATGGCGTATGCCAAGACCTCCTGCGTGCTGTCCTTTTTGTTCAGACGCAGGCCACGCGTGGAGCTGGACGGGTTGATTTCTTCGCCGTGGAGGAATTGGAGCATGGCGTTGTCGACCAGTTTGGCCAATGACTTGTCGGCAGGGACGAAGGATAACTGGTACCACAGCACGGGTAAACAAATCGAGTGGAGGATGGCGATCTTGCCAGCAAGAGTCCGAGCCTTGAAGCACCACAGGGAAAGCCGCGCGATGAATTTGTCGAAGACATAGGTGAAGCGTGTCTTCGGTGGCAGATTCGGTGCGACTAGAATGCCCAAAGCCTTCGTCGGCGAGTCGTCGGTGACTCGAAGGTGGGAAAGACGTGGTGATGGCTGATTGTACGTCAAGATTTGCGTCTTGTCGATGTTGAGGCGGAAGCCCGACTTGTCGCAAAAGCGTTGCACCAGTGCGAGTTGACGGTGTAGGGACTTTTCGGTGCAAGCGTACAATTGCGAGTCGTCTGCGAAGTAGCTTCCCGTGTGGACGCGGTCTCCAGTGCGAATACCATACTTGGGATGCTGACGGAGTAGCTGGCACATGGGCTCCAATGCAATAACAAAGAGTAGCGGAGACAGTGGATCGCCTTGAAGGACACCCCGATGGATCCGAACCGATGGAGACAAGTGTCCGTCGACCAGAGTAGAGTACCCGCACGATGTCAACGAAGGTTTTCGGAAATCCATAGCTGTGCAGGACTCGAAGCAGGAACGAATGGTCCACCCGGTCGAACGCCTTCTCGAAGTCCAAAAGGGCGACCATGGACGATGGAGAATGTTCCTTCATGTAGTGGAGCATGTCGTCGAGACGTTGGATGTTCGTTTGGATGTTGCTGCGACGAATGAAGCCTTGCTGGTCCTCGTGGATGATGCTGCGAATGTGTCGTTGCAGGCGATGGGCC